CAAAGTGCAGACGGTCAAATGATTCAGGAAGAGTATCAGTGGAGGACTATGAATAGAGGTATAAAAAATTATTTAAAAAAAGAGTGGCAGAGGATACGATGCTGATGACGATGTCGATAACTTTATGGTTCGAAAAGCCAATCGGACACGCCCGAGAAATTGCTTTTTGATGGTTTGTTTCCAGATGTCAATAAGATATCAGTCAGATATCGCAATTGGAGTCTTAAAGAACGGTACGACTACATGGCTGGTTCTGGCATGAGGAGCCAACTTTAGCGACCATACTGTACGGAGAAGCAGCCGATCTGCGGGCAGCGAAACATGTCGAAATAGGGGCCATCAGTGTATGAACTGTGGAGTTGTTACAGCTCTTTGATGCACGACACGACGGATAATAAGGCTGGCTGGTAGGTAGGTTTGGGAGAGATGACTAACTGCATGATACTGATGAAGCTTTGTTCTGCAGTTGAAACACCCTTCATACAGGACTTGGACCCAATCTCGATGTTTGGTGTTTGAGCTTGATAAAGCCGTAGAGTTGCAGTCTTGATCATTTCGGCTCCGATCCGAGTTTCGTTCAACCTGCAGTGCCCATCACAAGGAACTTGGTCCGAAACGTCAGGTCCTCAAATCCTTCGAGGTGTGCTATAAGTGCCCTGAGCTTAATACGACGTTAAAACGGCGAATATTCGTCTGTGACCGTGTTCAGGAGTTACTTCAGTATCTTGTGTGATGTGATGTTGCGATTGGCTAACAGTTGCTGTTACAGCTTACGGGGTTGACGCAAGAGTTTAAGTGCTGGGGCTGCGCTCCATGTCACGATGGTACCTTGCATCATGATCCATCTGTTTTCGTTTTCAGAGCATCTGCAGGTATCGTCAACAAACACGCTTAAAGTTAACTACAGTGGAAGTTTCAGGCTTGGCTACCACTTCTCACTTACTGTTATGGTATCTGCCTATTAAACAAGACTCCACATGTCAACAGCGTCATCATCATCAACATCAATTTATCTTTCCTCTTCTCAGCACAAGACAATATCGGCTCATTGCATCGAGGCGCGCCCGTCCCGCCTCCGCAGCCAATCGGCATTATCTTGGTATTATCGTCCGCCTCCAATAGTGCCGTGTCCTACTGTGCCCATCTTCTCCGCATTGTTGTCCCTTTTGTGCACTCAACTCCGGCTAACTCAACGTTTCAGCTGTTTGAAGCATCTTCACTGAGCATTGTCATTATCGCTCCACATAGGCCACTGAATGTCAAATGATACTGCTAGTCTGCCAAGCTCCTTGTCTCCTGACCAGGGTCTTCCTAGTTGATGGGTTGTTGCAGACGCTACTAAAGGGGGATCGCCCGAGAAGCGCCAGGGTCTTCCAATCACTAGCAGCGCTTTTCGGCACAGAAGCCAGCTAGAAGAGGAACCTCCATAATTCTCTTCTATAATGCCCGTGTTGTCATCCCTGTTTCATTGCTTTTTTTTTTTTTTCTACATCGGAGCGTTTTCGATCACGAACTGCAGTCTTATTCAAGACTCTCCGGTCTGAGCTATCGAACTATCCTATCTGTGAATGCTGTTTTAGATAGAACGACGGCCTTTAACAGGCTTTTATTATGAACAGATGTATACTATAGTATAGGTAATTCGGGAACAGCTTGTGCGGCTGGCAGCAGGAACATGCTACACTAGCACCGTACTTCGCACTTTATTTGCAACACAGCTTGCGTCTTGTGTCTCATCGGAGTTGACGAATCTTTCTCCATTCAACGTTCGAAGCACATCGTGTCCAAACACTCAAACTCATGGTTCCGTCATCAGATCTACAGCTAGCGAGAGGAAGTGCCAGCTCTTGAGTGTCGCTGCGACATCCTGTCGATCATCAAGGGAGCCGCGTGAGGCAGGGGACTTTGACATGACCGTCCGGTGTCGATGGTATCAAACGACCAAAGACACTCAGACCTTTTGTTGTTCGTGTCTTCCTTGACTGACACTGACAGTTTGGCCATCATGATCGACAAAGTCCGAGCAAACAATCTTGGAATAGTTACAAAGTCCGTTTCTGATGTCTCCTGCCCGGTTAAGCATTACCGTATTACACTGTCCCCAAGCCCCCTGGGAAGAGGCTTGTAAGTAATATCGTCGTGACTGACTCAAGTGTAGCGGACTTGGTGAGAGAACTGCTAGTCTTTATGGAGTAGAATGAGCCGTAATCCAATCAACGCCAGGGATCTTCCCAGGGAAATGGACGCCGAGAGTTGAGGATCCTCAAGAGCCTCGGCCACACCCTCAACGGTAATTGGCCCTTTTCAGTAATTGGCAGTTTGATTTAGTGGCCGTCGTGCCAAAAGGCGATTCCATGTTGGCCCACATGTTTCTTTGGTGGTTGGCTGACCATGTTTTCCATGTTGGTGATCAGACCTCTCTATGTCTGTGAGTCCCTGGGATTTCTGATCACCTGCGCTTCAGAATCAAGATGTTTGTCAATATTTGGAAGATAATGTTATCCGGATTCCACCGGCTAAAGTTTAATGTCTGCGCACTTGCCTCTTTGGAATTGTTTCAAGATTGCTCGTTCTTTGGGGAGTGATCCATTAAATCTATTCGCTAAGATCCAAGTCTCAGATCTTCAACTACACATTGAATAATTGGTTATCCTTGCTCTGAGCTTCCGAGTTCCAGGAACTTGGTGCTGGGAGCACACGAACGATATGATGATCCTCATCTACGATACACGGGCGCTCGACTGCGTCCGTTTCGATCAATGCTGTCATAACTTTCCACGGGCGTGCGGAAATCGCTGGCTGGAAATACGGTGTGTATCAAACGGAAGACCACCCATCCTTGCTAGCTGAAGAAACTCTCGGACCCCAAATTTCGCGTGGGCTCTTGATGAAATAAAGTAATTTAAACAGCACCGAGACCACTCAAACTTTCAAGCTCCAGCACGATATTCATTTAGTGAAGTGGAGTTCATCATGTTTCCAGATGGGACCATTTTCTCAAACAGGGTGGCCACATGGCAGGCTTGTTCCGTTTTTGATCTACTACTGATGCTCATGATATGCAAATCATCTTCAGTACAACCTCTGGATGGCATCATTACCTGGTAACCAACCGAGGCTGGGAACAGAATTGCGGATGCTTCTCTTGTCGATTCGATGTAACATGCTATCTTTGGTTACTAACTTTGGTATTTTGGCCTATTTTGCATTGTTGCACGTTTAGCACATATACATAAAGGCAATGGATGCTCGACACAGACACTCTCACAACAAGAGTTGCGAAGCTCTGCAACAACCAACTTGCTCATTGTTTTTCAATCTTCACTTACTATAGGTTGATCATTGCGAGATTTGCATCAAACTTTGCTCTGGAAACTTTGGTAGTACGAGACCAGACATGGCCAGAGCAAGCCCCCCGAACAGACAATACACTCGAGGCTGCATAGCGAAAGAGCTGGTTTGTTAAGTGACAAACTTGGCCACAAGCTGTTGAACCCGGATAAACATCACTCAAGTGACGGTTAAAGCCGGCCAGATTCTCAGTCAGATCTGAAACGGAGATTCAGCAATCTGGCGTGCGGAAAGAAAGGTCTGGATCGACCTCTGACGATTTCTTACACGGACGATGAATGCCGGATCTTCAATGTGCAATAGCAACAGGAATACGGCTCTCGATCTACCGAACAATGAAACCTGTACCATCAAGAACGGTTGAGGCGGTTGAGTTATCCATGATATGGCAAGCATAACTTCTTAGAGTCAGACAAAGATGAGGCGACGACCACCCGAGCAAGCCACAACACCACTTCCGAGGCAATTTAGAGCGAAGCTCTGGATACGTATTTCCACGATGCGGTGATCTTACCTTTTGGTCAGTTCTCAGCCATTTGATGGCCGATAAGGGGCATGTGAGTCAGCATGACTCTGTCAGAGATTGAGGTCAGTTCAGCGAGACAACTCTCAACCAGATACCTGATAGAGGGCAGTGCCGAGTCAATGCAACTCTGTCAGACATCGAAATTGGCTTGAATATTCGTACAACTATCGGGAATGGCAGTATTCAAGATCGAAAGTCTGTTCCAAGGCCAAAGCTTCTCAACCTAACCAGAGTCACTGATTGAGAATGGAGGCGTATATACCAAAACCCATAACAGGAAGTCAATTGTTAGCGGGCTGCCGCTATCTTATATAGGCCACCCAAACCCCTCTGTGAGTGTGTTTTTTAAAGTTCGATCTTGTCAAAAACACCTTCTAGTTGCTCTATTCCGTTGCCTTGACTTGACGTCTGGTGGCTGAAACTTTGAATGGAGATTTGTCGGCCAGAGTTAAGGCTTTACCTGCTTTGCAACAAAGATTCGTTCATTACAATGGGAGTGTCCCGCTTGGTGTAGAGATCGCTATAAACGCTGTTGAGATCTGTATAAGTAATAGTCGCTTGTGATGAAGAGGAGAAAAGATCATAGTAGAGAGTATTCTATCTCTCTGGAGTATGAGAAGTCTAGAGCCCATATGATTGGTTGGCTGTTTGAATATTGAAGACTGGAAGCAATTTCTTGACCATTAGATTAAGGCTCATATTCAGGTGGTGATTGAAGTCCGTTTCCAAAACGAAAATGAATTATTTACCACTCAAAGATTTAAAGCTGAAATCATCTCTCCTTACAGTTGTTCAACGTTGTGGTGGCGAAGTTTGTTCTGAAACCTTGGGTGGCTGGATCAATAGATGCATGCGATAGTAGTAGTCCCAAGGTCTAGAGCTTTAAACGAGCTCCCCTCGGCCCGGGAGTGTTCTAAAGAGGCCTCGCGTCTATTAAAAATGGCAAAGAAAAGGAAAGTGGCAGGGAAATCGTCGATAGTCCCCGTATATGAACGAATAACTATCTATACCCGTCTTGGCACCATATCACTGTAGCTTGGCGGCGCCACTAATTGACAACACTTGCAGATCGCCAACTCAACACCAGAGCCCAAGCTTCAACTTTCTCACCGACAGAGCCCAGAACAACGGGAACGGCGAAATAAGTACCTGTCTTGAGTAGAAAAAACGGCAACAGTTGGAATTGGACTATTAAGACTTAAAAAAAAAAATGTCTATTCCTATGCATCGACTGGGCGGTCGCGGTACGTCATCACAAACAGCATGGGCGTTGTTGTTTGCGCCGGAATCGGCAACGCGACAATTCAAAGTGCGACGCTTTAACCTGAGACGTCAAACACTGACAGTTCGATCTGGTTAGCCTTTGCCCACGATGACGACGACATCGAACAAGAGTACGACCGATTGAGAGACTTGGCGCGAGCTGAGGCGGAGAAGCGCAACGATTGCTTCGCGCGTGTATGTTGAATACAGCTCATGTCTGTCGAAGGGCAATACAAGGTAGCTGACTTTGCTTGCAGTCGCGTCAGGCATATGAAGATGGCGATGGTGCTGGAGCAAAGGAGCTCTCCAACCAGGGCAAGGCACACGCTGCCCGTATGGATGATTACAACCAGCAAGCAGCCGATTTTATCTTCCGTGAGAACAACGCCTCTGGCCGTGTAGAGGCGGATTCGATCGACCTTCACGGTCTCTACGTGGAAGAGGCTGAGCGAATTCTTGAGGAGCGCATTCGTGCAGACCAGGCTAATGGACAGACACATCTCTATGCCATCGTCGGCAAGGGACACCACTCAGCTGGTGGTGTACAAAAGCTCAAGCCAAAGGTCGAGGAGCTGTGCCAAGAACTTGGTCTTCGATACGAGACCGATGAGGACAACACTGGACGAATTATCATCAACCTCCAGGGCGGAGATCCTATCCCTCCCTCGCACTCTGGTGGTTACGGTGGTCACCATGGTGGACAGCAGCATCACCAACCCCAGCATCATCAGCCTCAGCACCACCAGCAGGAACAGCAGAACGACGATGTTGGACAGGTACTGCCTTGGATTCTGAAAAAGTTGGAGAAGGCCTGCTGTGTGGTCATGTAAAGCTTGGATATAATCTTCTGAGTTGCCATTTGTGGGAAGCATCTTAGGAATGCTGGTTTAACGCGTTTATACCCTGATTGTGTGGGGTTGGAGAGATTCTGACTTTCTGAAATCCTTGTTTATGATTGCTATATCCAAGCATTCCAAAAACGCTAGATTATTTAGATGAGAGACATGCGGAACGTTCACGCTAGAACTGAATTGATGGAGATATGTATCAAGTCTTTATTTTCTCGCTAGACATAGGAAAGGTGTATAGTATGTAAATCAAGGCTCCTCTATACCCAAACTCATCTATGAGATCGAATGCTTTAACGCTTTGTTACAATGTATATCAAGAGTCTTCTCCACCAATTTTCCTCGGACAACCCTCATTTATGCTTCGGTCGAGTTCTTGATGTTAATCATCTCCTGGCTCTCTGTAGGCTTAGGGGCTTTGCAAAGAGTGAATCCAACGGCCTCGCATATGATAGCAACCATCATTTCCATAATGATACCGGCACCAAGATACATCCAGACATCCTGCTTGTGGCCGCCGAGGATGAGAGCACAGGTGTAGGCAAGTCGGACGACAACGAAGGGTAGAGAAGCACCAACAGCGATAAGAAGTCGATGCTCGCCATCAGCGATGTAGGACTGGCTACGGAGAGCAAGGAAGAACTGACCCACAACCAGGACAAGGACAACAATCATGAGGATGACACCAATCTTGCACTCAGAGTTGTACTTGACACTGGGAGAGGAGCCGTTGAGTTCGTAGTCCGAGTTAGCACCGCCAACTGAGATGAGAATAATGGCAGCAAGCATCAGAAGTTGGATCGCACGCTGATAGATTGGTAGAACGCCTTTGCCGCCCTGACGCTTGATAGAATCGAAGCAACGACTAAGCAGGCCGAGAAGGATAAGGATCAATGGGCCGAGACCAAGGCCGTTAAGTGTAAGCCAGCCAATGTAGAGGCTTGTGTTGCTTGGGTCATTGATAGTTGCCAGGAGCATGGAAGAGCCGATTAGACGGGCGAGTGATAGAATGCAGATATAGAGCCAGCCAGCAGTGCGCCCAAAGCCATGAGACTTGCAGAGAAAGAGGGCTCCGATGAGGATGAAGGTATAGATGACAATCTCAGCGATGGCAATGTCATCGTGAGTATTCATAGGTCGAGCCATTGCAGTAAATAAAAAGTCTGTTGAGTTTGAAGATGGTCCTTAGAAAAGAGTTGACTTGTAAGTTGACTGATGTTAGAGGAGTGAAGAGTAAGAGTGAAGAAGTGACGGTTGTATTGTTGTTCTGATCTATTGACCATTCTCTCCAACTCGAGAGATACAGGCATACTTATACATGTCAACGTCGACTCGCATTCTAACTTGAATATAGGAGATGCTGTATAGTCGGCACAACGGCAACATCATAGCCTCAGTTTATCCCCGCTGGATATGGACACCTCGAGACACTTGCCCAAACGGGACAGCGTCCTTTACCAAATATGCATGATGAATAGAGGCTTAACCATAAACCTTGCCGTCGTGTGGCATCAGGAGCTATGGCCCGGCGTCATTCCCGAGATACAGGGTCGCATGCAAAATGAGAATGCGATATCCCACGAAGGCTGAGTTCATTCATCGAATCGTATGCCCAATTTGGTTTAGCTCGAGATTTGTTCAAATGGGATTGCAGGGTTCTTGTTTGTGGCTGTAACGAGCCTTACCTTGTAGGGCTGTCTATTCGAGTGCCGTGATCCGTGTTAACGACCAAAGCGAGAGCGAGTATGTTAGTCAGTGACGCTTCGTCTGCATGTAAGATAGTGGCTTGTTTCTGTATGGAAAAGTTCTTGTCGGATAGGATTTTGAATTCCCTTTTCGGGAAGTTCTTGAAACTGCAAGTATCGACATCTGCCTCGAGCTACTTCGGCTTTGCCGCCTGGAATTACTCTCCTGTTGAAGAGGGCCATATGCAACAGAAGCTTGTGAGGTACTGGTATTTGCCTGGTAATGAATTACATTGTATGTGGCCTGGTTTGACTCACTCAAGCTTTGCTCTGTTGATCAATCAAGGGTCTTACAGGCACCAAGCTAAAGTCAACCCCACACAAAACGAACCCTCCAAATGACGTCGAGTCTGTCTAAAATTCTCCAATCGACAACTTCATCCTCCACTAACGAGACCTCCATACTTCGACCGCGCCGAAAGAGGCCTCATAGCCACGTACTACCATTTTCAAGTGTATTTGTCGATCTAGGAAGGTTGAATCACTTCCTCTAACCAGACGATGCCTGTATGTCCCCCACTTTGTGACAACTTACACGACCCCTCAACTAATCTCATCACCCAGCTCATCATTGTCTCTGGATTACCTACCTCAGGCAAGTCAACACGGTCACAACAACTTTACGATTACCTCTCCAAGCGCATCTCCGATACAAAATATCGTCTACACCTCATCTCTGACGAATTCCTCTCCATCTCCCGCACCGTTTACGACCTTTCGAGTCTCCCCGCACATACCAGATCTGCGAACGCATCCGAGAAGGATGCTCGCGCTACAATCTACGGCGCTGTGAAGCGCGTACTTAGCGACAAGGACATTGTGATTCTTGATGGTTTGAATTACATCAAGGGTTGGCGATACCAACTACACTGCGAATCTAAGGCTGTGCGCACACCGAGCTGTATATTGCAGATTGGATGTTCGGTGGATAAGGCAAGGGAGGTTAATGAGGCCAGGTTAAAGAAGAGAGAGGCCGAGATACCCAAGACTGCGGATACCGAAGAGGCGATGCCCTTAGCTACAGCTTCTGGTGATGCGATCGTGGACTCTACGGAGCCATACGAGCCCGGCAACTGGGACAACTTAGTCTTTCGATACGAAGAGCCCAATCCCATGACCAGATGGGACAGTCCTCTCTTCACGCTTATCTGGGAGGACGACGAGGCTCAAACTAACAAGGTCTTCTCCGACCTCTGGGACGCAATAGCTGGTGAAGCCCGCAAGGTCGTGCGCCCTAATCAAGCAACCATACAGCGCGGCCGCGAGGAAAGCGGTGACTACTTATACCTTCTGGATCGCGAGACGTCGGACGTTGTGAAGCGCATAGTCGAAGCGCAGCGAGAGGGTGATGACGTTGATGAGGTGCGGATACCATCTGACTCTGGAGAACGAACGATATATTTACCTGTGGGTAAGAAGGTTGGCTTGCCACAATTGCAAAGGTTAAGGAGGGCGTTCATGGGGTTGAATAGAGGTGGTATTGGATTGGAGGCTGTGGGCGATATGAAGTCTTCACGGTTGAGAAATACCTTTGTGACGTATCTCAATGATGTGTTTGAGAAGGATGAGTAGTCGTTTTGTCTATGAAGGATGTGACCTCATTACAAAGGCTCTCAGTGCAGCTCAATATGATGGCTTCATAATGCTTGACGTGACTATAGAGTCTTATCACCTGCTTACATGATCACACAATGAGCTTTCTCACCTGCCCGGGGTGTTCAGAATTCTTCATTGAGATCCATCACCGGGCGCAATGTAATTGCGATGGGAAAATGACAACATTGCACATTTATACAATTGATGCTCGCCCATCGTGTACAATCATGAGTTGAACATGCTAATAGAGCTTATGATTGGTTGTAAGTTCTGTAGCTCTAGGGTAACCTCGAGAGCGCATGCCATTGATACAATGACCTGCATTGCAAATCCCCTATAATATTACTTATTCCTTATTCTCATTCCAACTTATTAATATACAAAGATATTTCCCTGGAGATTCACACATTATGGGTAACATCATACAGTAGAGTTTAGAAGGTAGATAAACATCATAGTCGTGAATGGTTAACTGACTCGTGAAAGAAGCCTGAAGCTCGGTCGGAGGACAACTACAGGTAGTATCTCACGGTCGAGAGGAAGTGTCATGAATACGCCCTAAGTGTCCAGAATTATAGCACGGCCCAATTTGACACCATTCCATCACCTTACCGGCAAAGTTCAATGACATGGATCGATCCATCGTGTTTTGTCAGCAGTTTGCAGTGACTGGATGATTCGAAATTCGAGATGGCAAAGAGGCAAGAGGATTAATAAAATACTTGAAGAAATAATAATGGGTAGAATAGCAGTAGTGTTAAAAAACGGCGAGTGAGTCAAGACTTGATCCATAAGTATCGTCAGTATTGTCATCTGAGACGCTGTACGTCGAGGTAGGCACCTGGGGCCGCGCAACAAAGCCTCTGATCCACCATGACCGCCATATGCCACTGTACCACTTGAGACAGTTGAGAGTGAGCTACCAATGCAAGAGCTAAATACTGTCCCCTGTTTCTGCGTGGCACTTAACAAGGTGGCGGGATCATGAGCGAAAATATGTAATTTATGCAGTATATTTAATATGATTATATAGCAAACTACGTTCATTTGCAACCAAAACTTCTCTTGCTACAGTTTAATGGAACCTTCTGCTGGTTTCCACCTGTTTTGCCTTTGCAGTCGTCACTCTCTGTTTGCCTGTTGCTACCGCCTTGCGCCCGCCTCTGCTTCTCATACTAGTGCCAGCCTAGAGCCCCACCATCAAACACGGCTGAGCTAAGCTACTTCCACCCCTGCAACATTATTGTTCCGCCCCCGATCCAGGGCATCCGGTGATATCATTGGCCCACAGCTGTGGCGGTCGGCCAGTGAATCGCTGTCAACAGTTCCGATGGGAGGGAAGGTGCCCTGTGGCCTTTGAGAACAGCTCGAACCTTCGTTACCTTACCTCCGACCTCACCTCTGCTTTAACTCTTGCATCTCTCAAACTTCCAACACAAACTTTCTCTCTACATTCTCCCCCCACGAACTCTCCTACTCCGCAATTGTATTTAAACACACATAACACACGCAAGAGCCAGCACTTGGCTTTTTTCTCTCGCAACACTTACAGCTCCCCCTCCTTTCGTCATCACCGAGCCAGCATCAGCTTCATCTGAAGCATCCAGATAACCATCATGGCTCCCCAGCCTGACGAGCACCACCCCCACAAGAAGGTCAACTTGACGTATGTGAAGAATCACCTCTGGGTCTATCCAGATCATCGTTGGTTTTGGCAAGCAGAATGACTAACAAGATTACAGCGACCCTTCCGGCGCCGAGGTCAAGAACGTTCGTGACATTCGATCTGAGGAGATTTCCAAACAAGTCGCTAACCATTTTGCAGGAGGATGATGTCGCGACCGCGATTCTCAAGAAGAAGAAGAAGCCCAACCAGTTGATGTAGGTGCTTTGCGCTGTTCGGCGTGCAGACAATTACTGACATCACCAAGGGTCACCGATGCCGTCAACGATGACAACAGCATTATTGCCCTCTCCGAGGCTACTATGGACCAGCTCCAGCTTTTCCGAGGTGATACCGTTCTGGTTCGAGGCAAGAAGAGAAAGGACACCGTTCTCATTGTTCTTGCCGACGATGAACTTGATGATGGCAGCGCTCGCATCAACCGAGTCGTTCGTCACAATCTGAGAGTCAAGCACGGTGACATGATCACCATCCACCCTTGCCCCGATATCAAATACGTCAGTAACCACTAGATATAAACATGAACCAGCTCCTAACACTTCCGCAGGCCAAGCGAATTGCTGTTCTCCCCATTGCTGATACCGTCGAGGGTATCACCGGTTCCCTGTTCGACGTTTTCCTCGCTCCCTACTTCCGAGAAGCTTACCGACCTGTCCGCCAAGGAGACTTGTTTATCGTCCGCGGTGGTATGAGACAAGTAGAGTTCAAGGTTGTCGAGGTCGACCCCCCCGAGTATGGTATCGTCGCACAAGATACTGTTATTCACTGCGAGGGCGAGCCCATCCAGCGAGATGAGGAAGAGAACAACCTCAATGAAGTTGGTTATGATGACATTGGTGGATGCCGAAAGCAAATGGCCCAGATCCGAGAGATGGTTGAGCTTCCTCTCCGACATCCCCAGCTTTTCAAGTCTATTGGTATCAAGCCTCCCCGAGGTGTTCTGCTCTACGGTCCCCCTGGTACCGGTAAGACTCTAATGGCTCGAGCTGTTGCCAATGAGACTGGTGCTTTCTTCTTCCTCATCAATGGTCCCGAGATCATGTCCAAGATGGCTGGTGAATCCGAGTCAAACCTCCGAAAGGCTTTCGAGGAGGCTGAGAAGAACTCCCCTGCCATCATCTTCATCGATGAAATCGACTCTATCGCCCCCAAGCGTGAGAAGACCAACGGTGAGGTTGAGCGACGAGTCGTCTCTCAGCTTCTTACCCTCATGGACGGTATGAAGGCCCGCTCCAACGTCGTTGTGATGGCTGCTACCAACCGACCCAACTCTATCGATCCCGCCCTTCGACGATTCGGGCGTTTCGATCGCGAGGTTGACATCGGTATCCCTGACCCTACTGGCCGTCTTGAGATTCTTCAGATTCACACAAAGAATATGAAGCTCGGCGATGATGTCGACCTGGAGCAGATTGCGTCCGAGACACACGGTTACGTCGGTTCTGATGTTGCTGCCCTCTGCTCCGAGGCCGCCATGCAGCAGATTCGTGAGAAGATGGATCTCATCGATCTCGATGAGGACACGATCGATGCTGAGGTTCTTGACTCTCTCGGTGTCACTATGGAGAACTTCCGTTTCGCCCTCGGTGTTTCCAACCCCTCCGCTCTCCGCGAGGTCGCCGTTGTCGAGGTTCCCAACGTTCGCTGGGAGGACATTGGTGGTCTCGAGGAGGTCAAGCAGGATCTCAAGGAGAATGTTCAGTACCCTGTCGATCACCCCGAGAAGTACCTCAAGTTCGGTATGTCTCCTTCTCGAGGTGTGCTGTTCTTTGGTCCTCCTGGTACTGGTAAAACTATGTTGGCCAAGGCCGTTGCCAACGAGTGTGCCGCCAACTTCATCTCCGTTAAGGGACCTGAGCTCCTCAGCATGTGGTTTGGTGAGTCTGAGAGCAACATCCGAGACATCTTCGACAAGGCTCGTGCTGCCGCTCCTTGTGTTGTCTTCCTTGACGAACTTGACTCCATTGCCAAGGCCCGTGGTGGATCCATGGGTGATGCTGGTGGTGCTTCCGACCGTGTCGTCAACCAGCTCCTGACTGAGATGGACGGTATGACTTCCAAGAAGAATGTCTTCGTCATTGGTGCCACCAACCGACCCGAGCAGCTTGACCCTGCTCTGTGTCGACCTGGCCGTCTCGACTCGCTCATCTACGTACCTCTGCCCGATGAGCCCGGTCGTCTCAGCATTATCAAGGCCCAACTCCGCAAGACCCCCATTGCCTCTGATATCGACTTCGGCTACATTGCCTCCAAGACCCACGGTTTCTCTGGTGCCGATATCGGTTTCATCACACAGCGTGCTGTCAAGATCGCCATCAAGGAATCTATCGCTGCCGATATCGAGCGACAGAAGGCTCGCGAGGCTGCTGGTGACGAGATGGACACAGATGAGGATGCTGAGGACCCCGTGCCCGAGTTGACCAAGGCCCACTTTGAGGAGGCCATGCAGATGGCTCGCCGATCAGTATCTGACGTAGAGATCCGCCGGTACGAGGCTTTTGCCCAACAGATGAAGAACGCCGGTCCTGGTGCTTTCTTCAAGTTCCCCGAGGCCGGTGCCGAGGCTGCTGGTGCTGACGGCGGTAACTCGTTCGGTGATGCTGGCAACGATGATGATCTCTATGACTAAGGACGGCAACGACTGTATGGACATGAGTCCTTTGTATTCTAATAATTTCACTCGCACACCCCTGCATTGGCCCGTAGGTTGTCGGTGAGTGAATCTACTCACACATTCTATGCGACTGATATTCGAATGGGAGTTGGTAGAATGGTAGAGGAAAGAAGAACGGCAACCTGATCCTGGCATTTCTGATGAGCCAGAAGGATATGAAAGTAGTCACGGTGTGACTCGAGACGGATTTGCGTTTTGATAGATGATGAAATTGATTCCCTTAGCTTTAAATCAAGTCTAAAGTGATTGTTTCCCGAGTATGCTAAATTGATTTTATCAGGATATGTCTCTTAAGTCTGTGGTGAGGTGGTCTCTTCCTGCTTGGCCACCATACTGTTGCCTTCGACTCGAAGTCTAAACAATCGTCTCAACATAATGAACCTGAGAGCTCCATCAGTCTGCAGCTGGAGATGAACATTTGTCTCCTTCACATAAGAGGTATTAATAAAGTATGGCAGCCTTTTGGCATGTAGGCTCAGCGCCAAGGAAGGCAGACATTAGTAGTTCTTCACAGCGGCAAGATCGTCAGAGTTCGTCATCAAGGTAATGTCTATTCATTTGTGTCGTACGTAGTTATCGTCTCGTATCCATGTTTTCGGGATTGGTATCATCCATCCT